TTTTCAGTTCTTCGGTTCTTCAATTTTTCGATTATTCAGGTTTTCGATTTTTCGACTCTGCTTTTTTGAATTTTCTGTTTTTCAGTATTTCAGTTTTGGAATTTTTCAATATGTTGATTCAATTTTGCAATTTTTTAATTTTTTAGTGTTTCGATTTTTCCAATTTTTCAAAATTTCGATTTTGCAATTTCTCGATTTTCTACTTTTTCGTTTTTTCAAATTTAAGATTTTTTTGATTATTGATCTATTCGATTTTTTAAATTTTCAATTTTTCTATTCTCGATTGATCGAGATTTCGATTTTTCAGTTGTTCAATTTCCCTAGTTTTCAATTTTTGTTATGTTTCAACCCATCTCGACTTTTTGATTTCACGATCGATTCCTCGAGGTTCAATTTTTTGATGTTTGGATTTCCCCAGTTTTTAATTTTCCTTTGATTTTTCAATTTTTCGATTTTCCAATTTACCTGCTCATCAATTTTTAGGTATTTCAGGTTTTTTGCAGTTTTTAAATTTTTTATTATTTCGATTTTTCAATTTTTCAGTTCTTCAAAATTTCGATTTTTTAATTTCTCGATTTTCTACTTTTTCGATTTTTGAAATTTAAGATTTTTTTGATTAGTGAATTATTCGATTTTTCAATTGTTCAATTTCCCTAGTTTTCTGTTTTTTGATGTTTCGATTTATCAAGTCTGGGATATTTCGATATTTCTATTTTTCGATTTTTTGATTTCTGGACTTTTCGATTTCACGATCTTTTCATGTTTCGATTCCTCGAGGTTCAATTTTTTGTTGTTTGGATTTCTAGATTTCTCGATTTTTTTGATTTTTCAATTTTTCGGCTTTTTGCATTTTCGATTTTCCGTTTTCAAAATTTTTCTTATTTTTCTTCGCAATATTTCGACTTTCCGATTTCTCGATTTTTCAGTTTTTCGAATCTTCAAAATTTCGATTTCTCGGTTTTCTGATTTTTCGACTTTAACTTTTCGAAAAAACGAAACATCGAAATCTCGACAAATCGGGAAATCTCAAAAAATTATAAAACTGAAAAATCGAAAAATTGAAATGTCGAAAAATTTAAAATTTAAAAAAACAAAAATTGAAAGATCGGAAAAGTGAACAATCAAGAAAAAGCCAATCGAGAAATCGAAAAATTGATTAATCGATAAATCAGAAAATTGAAGAATCGATAAACTGAGATAACGAAAAAGAATGGAAAATGGAGAAATGGGGAAATCAAAGAATCGAAAAATCGAACACCTTCAAAAATTAAAATATTGAAAAATCAAAAAATCGATTTTTCGTTTTTTAAATTGTAGGATTATTAAATTTGTCAATTTTTTAATTTTTAAAATTTTAGGTTTTTCATTTGTCGATTTTTCGATTTTCCAATTTCTTAATAATTATTCATTTTCTCTATTTTTTAATTTTTAATTTTTTGTATTTTCAATTTTGGCCTGATTTAATTTCTAAATTTTTCGATTTCCGAATTTTTGAGTTTTCGATATACCGATCTTTTGATTTCCCGATGATTCAGTTTTTAATTTTTCGTTGTTTTGATTTGTGGATTTCCCGATTTTTCGACTTTTTGGCTTTTTGATTTTCCAATTTTTTATTTCGATTTTTCAATTTTTCAAATTTTCACGTTTCTAAATTTTCAGTTTGCCGATTTCTAAAGTATTTTTTTTTTATTTGTCCATTTCTGGACTTCCTAAAGTTTCGATTTTTCACACCTTCAATTCTTCAATTTTTCGATTTTTTAAGATTACGATTTTTCGATTTTGCTTTTTTAGATTTTCGATTTCTCAATTTTCCAATTTTTTAATTTCTCAATTTTTTGAATATTTCTTTCAGTTATGAGATTTTTCAATATTTCAATTTTTCGACTTTTCGATTTTTGAATTGATGGATTTTTTTTGATTTCTCGATTTTTTACTTTTTGGATTTTCAATTTATTGTAAACTTTAGATTTTTTAATTCTGCGACTGTTTAATAAAGCTTCGATTTCTCAATTTTTCAACTTTTCGACGTTTTAATATTTCATTTTTTAAAATTCTAGATTTTTCGATATCTCGAGTTTTCAATTCTTCTATATTTCAATTTTTCGATTTTTTTAATTTTCGATTTTCCAGTTTTTTTTTTTAAATTTTCGATTATTCAATTTTTTAATTTCTCAATTTATCGAATTCAGATGTTTCGTTGTTTTGATTGTTCAATTACTGAATTTTTCAATTTTTAACTTTCCTTTTCGGCTTCCGACTCCTCAATTTCTCGATCCTCCGATTTTTAGATTTCTCGGTTTTTCGATTTTTTTGTTTGAGCTTTTCAATTTCTGGATTTTCCAATTTTTCAATGTCCCGATTTTTCAAATTGAACTGGATTTCTCGATTCATCAATTTTGCGGTATTTTAATTATTCAATGTTTTAAATTCTCGATTTTTCGATTTCTCGATTTTTTGACCTCAGTTCTTCAGTATTTAAATTTTTCAATTTTTCAAATTTTTGCGTTAAATTTTCAGTTTTCTGATTTCTCAATTAATCTATTTTTGATTTTCCCACTTCTCAAAGTTTCGATTTTTCAGTTATTCAATTCTTCGATTTTTCGACTTCGCTTTATTGGTTTTTAGATTTCTCAATTTTTGGATATTTCTTTCAGTTTTGATATTTTTCAATACTTCGATTCTTTGATTTTTCGACTTCTAGATTTTTCTTTTTTTTATTTTTGGATTTTCAGTTTTTTGTTTTTTATACTTCAATTTCTCGATTTTTCAACATTTCCATATTTTAATTTTTAAATATCTGGATTTTTCGGTTTCTCGAGTTTCCAGTTCTATATTTTAATTCTTCAAATTTCCGAATTTTTAAATTTTTTGAGATCTCAATTTATTGAGATTCGGATGTTTCGATGTTTTGATTATTCAATCTCTCGCTTTATCAATTTTTCCATATTTATGTTTTCGATTTTTCGATATTGCCCTATTTCGGTTTCTCAATTTTTTGATTTTTCGACTTCTCGATTTTTCGATGTTTCGATTTTTGATTTATCCGATTTTTCAATTTTACAATTTTTTAAATTTTCGACTTTTCGATTCGTTGATTTTTCAGTTTTTCGATATTTAAATTTTAGATTTTCGAATTTTTATTTTTTTGATTTTTTGATGTTTGGATTTCTCCATTTTTCAGTTTTAGGATTTTTTAACTTTTCAATGTTTTAAATTTTAGATTTTTCGATTTTTCAGTTCTTCGATGTTTTTTTATTTTTCAAATTTTGACGTTTCTGAATTTTTAGTTTTCGGATTTCTCAATTAATCTATTTTTTTATATTTCCATTTCTCCACTTCTTAAAATTTCGATTTTTCGACTCTGCTCTTTTGAATTTTCTGTTTTTCAGTATTTCAGTTTTGGAATTTTTCAATATGTTGATTCAATTTTGCAATTTTTTAATTTTTTAGTGTTTCGATTTTTCCAATTTTTCAAAATTTCGATTTTCCAATTTCTCGATTTTCTACTTTTTCGTTTTTTCAAATTTAAGATTTTTTTGATTATTGATTTATTCGATTTCTTAATTTTTGTCAATTTTTCTATTCTCGATTGATCGAGATTTCGATATTTCGATTTTTCAGTTGTTCAATTTCCCTAGTTTTCAATTTTTGTTATGTTTCAACCCATCTCGACTTTTTGATTTCACGATCGATTCCTCGAGGTTCAATTTTTTGATGTTTGGATTTCCCCAGTTTTTAATTTTCCTTTGATTTTTCAATTTTTCGATTTTCCAATTTACCTGCTCATCAATTTTTAGGTATTTCAGGTTTTTTGCAGTTTTTTAATTTTTCATTATTTCGATTTTTCAATTTTTCAGTTCTTCAAAATTTCGATTTTTTAATTTCTCGATTTTCTACTTTTTCGATTTTTCAAATTTAAGATTTTTTTGATTAGTGAATTATTCGATTTTTCAATTGTTCAATTTCCCTAGTTTTCTGTTTTTTGATGTTTCGATTTATCAAGTCTGGGATATTTCGATATTTCTATTTTTCGATTTTTTGATTTCTGGACTTTTCGATTTCACGATCTTTTCATGTTTCGATGCCTCGAGGTTCACTTTTTTGTTGTTTGGATTTCTAGATTTCTCGATTTTTTTGATTTTTCAATTTTTCGGCTTTTTGCATTTTCGATTTTCCGTTTTCAAAATTTTTGTTATTTTTCTTCGCAATTTTTCGACTTTCCGATTTCTCGATTTTTCAGTTTTTCGAATCTTCAAAATTTCGATTTCTCGGTTTTCTGATTTTTCGACTTTTAACTTTTCGAAAAAACGAAACATCGAAATCTCGACAAATCGGGAAATCTCAAAAAATTATAAAACTGAAAAATCGAAAAATTGAAATGTCGAAAAATTTAAAATTTAAAAAAACAAAAATTGAAAGATCGGAAAAGTGAACAATAAAGAAAAAGGAAATCGAGAAATCGAAAAATTGATTAATCGATAAATCAGAAAATTGAAGAATCGATAAACTGAGATAACGAAAAAGAATGGAAAATGGAGAAATGGGGAAATCAAAAAATCGAAAAATCGAACACCTTCAAAAATTGAAATATTGAAAAATCAAAAAATCGATTTTTCGTTTTTTAAATTGTAGGATTATTAAATTTGTCAATTTTTTAATTTTTAAAATTTTAGATTTTTCATTTGTCGATTTTTCGATTTTCCAATTTCTTAATAATTATTCATTTTCTCTATTTTTTAATTTTTTAATTTTTTGTATTTTCCATTTACCGACATTTTTGATTGTAAATTTTTAAATTCTTCAATTTTTAACTTTTGGATTTTTCAATTTTGGCCTGAATTTTTCGATTTCCGAATTTTTGAGATGTAAAATATATATTCATTCTTTTCTACATGGGAAAGCGATTGTCCGTATAGGTTGTCCAACTATAATATACTTAAACAATGCTAACATACTCCTGTAGTTGTAGTTTATGAATCCGGGTTGAATTTTTTTTGCAGAATCGTGTACCGCGAATTGAAGGACGATGGTACGTACGACTCGGAGGAGGGCCGCGCTACTCCCGTCGTCCTCTACTCCCGCAGCGGGAGCAGTTCCGTCGCCGGTACCACCCTGTCGCCGAGCACGCCCGTCCCCGGGACCCCGTCAGTCTCCAACTGTACCGTCGAGGACGTCCTTCAGCTCCTCCGCCACCTCTTCGTCATCACCACGACCAAAGAACCCGACTTGAACTCTCTCGACAACAGTATGGAGATCACCCCCGACCAGTATACGAGCAAGAAAATCACCAACAAGCTCCTGCAGCAAATCCAAGACCCGTTGGTCCTGTCGAGTTCCAGCTTGCCGGCGTGGTGCGAGGAATTGAACCACTCTTGTCCGTTCCTGTTCCCGTTCGAGACCCGCCACTTGTATTTCAATTGTACTGCGTTCGGGGCGTCGCGGAGTATCGTCTGGCTGCAGACCCAGCGTGACGTCACGATGGAGCGGCAGCGCACGACGGGGTTGTCGCCGCGCCGCGACGAACCGCACGAGTTCAGAGTGGGCAGACTGAAACACGAAAGAGTAAAAGTTCCTAGAGGAGAGGAGATTCTCAGTTGGGCGATGCAAGTGATGAAGATACATTCGGACAGGAAGAGCATCCTGGAGGTGGAGTTCTTGGGTGAAGAAGGGACGGGTTTGGGACCAACGTTGGAGTTTTACGCTTTGGTCGCGGCTGAGTTGCAGCGGAGGGATTTAGCGATGTGGATCTGCGACGACGACGCCATCGACATGCAAGAGACTGTGGACTTGGGGGAGGGGGTGAAGCCTCCGGGGTACTACGTGAGACGTCCGGCAGGGTTATTCCCGGCGCCGCTGCCGCAGAACTCTGAAATCTGTGATAAAGCAGTCAAGTATTTCTGGTTCCTAGGAGTTTTCCTGGCGAAGGTGTTGCAAGACAACCGGCTCGTGGATCTTCCTCTGAGTCAGAGCTTTTTGAAGTTGATGTGTCACGGGGAGATCCAGAACACCGTGAACGAGAGGATCGGGTTCGCGGGGGTGAAGAAGTGCAGCGAGGAGGACATCATGACGTCGAGTCTCATCTCGGAAGAGAGCGAGAAGGAGCTGGAGTTGGATCCCCCGAAGATCATCGTAGAAGATAAGAAGCCGTGGTACAATGGCATCCTCAACGAGGACGACCTCCACGACATAGATTACATTAGAGCGAATTTTTTGAAGCAAATTAGGGAATTAGTCAAACAGAAGCATAAAATTATGCAGGACCATAATCTCTCGATGGAAGCGAAGACGCACCAGATACAGAACATGTGTCTGAATCACGCTTCGGGGCCGGTGTTGTTGGAGGATTTGGCGTTGACGTTCACGTACTCGCCGAGCTCGAGCGCGTTCGGCTTTTCGGCGGTGGAGTTGGTGGGGAACGGGGCAGACATTGAGGTTAACATAGAGAACATCGAGGAGTACGCCGAGCTGACGACGGCGTTTTGTTTGGATAAGGGGATTGCGAGGCAACTCGATGCTTTCCATAAAGGCTTCTGCACGGTTTTCCCGATGGAGAAGCTAGCGGCTTTCAGTCCGGAGGAGATGAGGATTATGTTGTGCGGTGACCAGAACCCCCAGTGGACTAGAGAAGATCTCATCAATTATACCGAGCCCAAATTGGGTTACACGAAAGACAGGTGGGTGAAGGATCCCGTGCGGGTCATAGGCGTCTCGTACAATCAATTATATATGGGCGGATCATTTTTGCCGGTCGTCACCAAAGGAGGCGGTCCAAATCGTCCAAGGGCAGAATTTGTAGGTAGGCTCAAACTACAACGAAATTTACGTGTTGACCAAATTCTTACTCTGAATTAGTCATTTTATAAATACCCTATCTAAAATGTTCAGAATATGATGAGTCTAATTGCAAAACTGAATACTTTGAAATCTTGTCAATTAGTTAGAAAAAAAAACCTGTCCTGCTCTAATAACATCGAGAATATGCTCAAAATCACACTAATATTCTATATTATTAAAGTAAGTCACGGACATTTTTTGAAGTGTACTACATTTCAAAAAGCAAAAAAAATGCTCAGTTCATAAACTTCTTAATTTTGGTTTAAAGTTTATCAATCATATTTGACGCTTTATTTTATCCGTTCCGACATCTTTTCGGTGACAAATTTAATCTTTGCATACTTCAGCGTAGTTAGTGAACTCGTTGTGACCACTGAAATATACAAAGAGTAAATTTTGAAATGGAACGAAAGTCGAAGAATACTTTCAAAGCCACGATCAAAATGTATTTGCTTATCTTCGCCAAAAAATGCATGACGTCATCGTAAAATTTGATATGATGAGTCTATACCTGTGATTTATCATTGCAGTAATATTTTTTAGATTTATTTATACAGCCTGTCTCAAAAAAAGGTCACTTCGATTTTCGATTTTTCGTTTTTTCGACCAACAGTTTCATCGAATTAGATTTTTCAGTTTCCATTTTTCTATCAACTTTTCGATTTTATTACTTTCTAATTTTCTGATTTTTCAAATTTGCGGTATTTTGATTTTTCGAGTTTTCAGTTTTTTCGTTTTTCGATTTTTTAATTTTTCGTTTTTTTGATTTTTCGGTGTTTCGATTTTTTAATTTGCCATTCTTTCAATTTTCGATTTTTCGTATTTCCATTTTTAGATTTTTTGATTTTTCTGTTCGTCAGTTTTTAGACTTCGCAATTTTTTTGCATTTTTCGATTATATTTTACTGTCCGATTTTTTTGATTTTTGAATTTTCGGTTTTACGCTTTTAATTCTTCGATTTCCGATTTTTCAATTTTCCAGTTTTTTAATTCTTCTATTCTCGATTTTTCGATTTTCCATTAATCATAAAATTTTTCGATTTTTCGGTTGTTTTATTTTTCGACTATTCGATTTTCTATTTTCTGATTTTACGATTTTTCGATTTTCGTTTTTCCGCTTTTGTGGTTTTTCGATTTTTCTGTTTGTTTCAGTTTTTATGGTTCTGCAATTTGCAGCTTTTAGATTTCAATTTTGTTACTTTCCGATTTTCCACTTTTCGATTTTTTGATTTTTTTTCGATCGTCGTTTTTTCGATTTTCATTTTTTCGATTTTTTGATTTTTCAATTTTTCGGTTTTTTGATTTTTCAATTCTCGGTTTTTCAGTCTTGCAAATTTTCGATTTTCGGTTTTTCCATTTTTAGATTTTGGATTTTCCAGTTTTGTAATTTCAGATTTTCTGTTTTTCGCGTGTCTGATTTATCAAATTTTCGATTTTTCGGCTTTTCGATTTTTCGATATTTGATTTTCGAATTTTCGATTGTTCAGTTTTCCATTTTTCAGCTTTGAGACTTCAATTTTTTCATTTTTCGATTTTCTTTTTAAATTTTTAAATTTTTCGGTTTTGATTTTTCGAATTTTTGATTTTTAATTTTTCCATTCTTCGGTTTTTAGACTTCAATTTTCTTTCTTTTAAATTTTTCGTTCTATTTTCCGCTTTTCAGAATTTTCGATTTTCAGTTTTCAGACTTTCGATGATTAGAATTTTGGCTGAAAAATCCAAATTTTATGATTTTTCGATTTTTAAAAAATTTGAGTAGTCGACTTTTCGATTTTTCAATTCATCGATTTTTCTATGTTCAATTTTTCAATTTAAATTTTACGATTTTCAATTTGTCCATTGTCGATTTTTAGAATTTTCGGTTTTTCAATTTTTCCATTCTCAACTGTTAGACTTCAATTTTGTTACTTTCCGATTTTTTGGTTTTCGATTTTCCAATTTTCAGAATTTCCAAGTTTCTTTATTCAGATTTTCAGTTTTCCTATTTTTCGATTTTTGATTTTTCCATTTTTCGGTTTTTTGATTTTTCAATTCTCGGTTTTTCAATCTTGCAAATTTTCGATTTTTCAGATTTGTGAATTTCCAGTTTTTCGATCGACCTACGTATTAGATTCATTGAATTTTCGATTTTCGGTTTTTCCATTTTTAGATTTTTGATTTTCCAGTTTTGTATTTTCAGATTTTGTTTTTCACGTATCTGATTTATCAAATTTTCGATTTTTCGATATTTGATATTCGAATTTTCGATTGTTCAGTTTTCCATTTTTCAGCTTTTAGACTTCAATTTTTTTATTTTTCGAGTTTCAATTTTCAGATTTTTTATTTTTCGATTTTCTTTTTAAATGTTTGAATTTTTCGGTTTTGATTTTTCGAATTTTTAATTTTTAATTTTTCCATTCTTCGGTTTTTAGACTTCAACTTTCTTTCTTTTAAATTTTTCGATATTCTATTTTCCGATTTTCAGAATTTTCGATTTTCACTTTTCAGACTTTCGATGATTAGAATTTTGGATTTTTCAGTTTTATGATTTTTCGATTTTTAGAAAATTTGAGTAGTCGAATTTTCGATTTTTCAATTCATCGATTTTTCCATGTTTAATTTTTCAGTTTAAATTTTGCGATTTTCAATTTGTCCATTGTCGATTTTTAGAATTTTCGGTTTTTCAATTTTTCCATTCTCAACTGTTAGACTTCAATTTTGTTGCTTTCCGATTTTTTGGTTTTCGATTTTTCAATTTTCAGAATTTCCAAGTTTCTTTATTCAGATTTTCGGTTTTTCCATTTTTAGATTTTTGATTTTCTAGTTTTGTATTTTCAGATTTTCTGTTTTTCACGTATCTGATTTATCAAATTTTCGATTTTTCGGCTTTTCGAAATTTCGATTGTTCATTTTCCATTTTTCAGCTTTTAGACTTCAATTTTTGATTTTTCGATTTTCTTTTTAAATCTTTGAATTTTTCGGTTTTGATTTTTCGAATTTTTGATTTTTAATTTTTCCATTCTTCGGTTTTTACACTTCAATTTTCTTTCTTTTAAATTGTTCGATATTCTATTTTCCGCTTTTCAGAATTTTCGATTTTCACTTTTCAGACTTTCGATGATTAGAATTTTGGATTTTTCAGTTTTATGATTTTTCGATTTTTAGAAAATTTGAGTAGTCGAATTTTCGATTTTTCAATGCATCGATTTTTCCATGTTTAATTTTTCAGTTTAAATTTTGCGATTTTCAATTTGTCCATTGTCGATTTTTAGAATTTTCGGATTTTCAATTTTTCCATTCTCAACTGTTAGACTTCAATTTTGTTACTTTCCGATTTTTTGGTTTTCGATTTTCCAATTTTCAGAATTTCCAAGCTTCTTTATTCAGATTTTCGGTTTTTCCATTTTTAGATTTTTGATTTTCCAGTTTTGTATTTTCAGATTTTCTGTTTTTCGCGTATCTGATTTATCAAATTTTCGATTTTTCGATTGTTCAGTTTTCCATTTTTCAGCTTTTAGACTTCATTTTTTTTACTTTTCGATTTTCCAAATTTTCGAGTTTCAATTTTCAGATTTTTGATTTTTCGATTTTCTTTTTAAATCTTTGAATTTTTCGGTTTTGATTTTTCGAATTTTTGATTTTTAATTTTTCCATTCTTCGGTTTTTAGACTTCAACTTTCTTTCTTTTAAATTTTTCGATATTCTATTTTCCGCTTTTCAGAATTTTCGATTTTCAGTTTCCAGACTTTCGATGATTAGAATTTTGGATTTTTCAGTTTTATGATTTTTCGATTTTTAGAAAATTTGAGTAGTCGAATTTTCGATTTTTCAATGCATCGATTTTTCCATGTTTAATTTTTCAATTTAAATTTTGCGATTTTCAATTTGTCCATTGTCGATTTTTAGAATTTTCGGTTTTTCAGTTTTTCCATTCTCAACTGTTAGACTTCAATTTTGTTACTTTCCGATTTTTTGGTTTTCGATTTTCCAATTTTCAGAATTTCCAAGTTTCTTTATTCAGATTTTCGGTTTTTCCATTTTTAGATTTTTGATTTTCTAGTTTTGTATTTTCAGATTTTCTGTTTTTCACGTATCTGATTTATCAAATTTTCGATTGTTCAGTTTTCCATTTTTCAGCTTTTAGACTTAATTTTTTTTATTTTTCGATTTTCCAAATTTTCGAGTTTCAATTTTCAGCTTTTTGATTTTTCGATTTTCTGTTTAAATTTTTAAATTTTTCGGTTTTGATTTTTCGAATTTTTGATTTTTAATTTTTCCATTCTTCGGTTTTTAGACTTCAATTTTCTTTCTTTGAAATTTTTCGATATTCTATTTTCCGCTTTTCAGAATTTTCGATTTTCAGTTTTCAGAGTTTCGATGATTAGAATTTTGGCTGAAAAATCCAAATTTTATGATTTTTCGATTTTTAAAAAATTTGAGTAGTCGACTTTTCGATTTTTCAATTCATCGATTTTTCCATGTTCAATTTTTCAATTTAAATTTTGCGATTTTCAATTTGTCCATTGTCGATTTTTAGAATTCTCGGCTTTTCAATTTTTCCATTCGCAACTGTTAGACTAGATTTTGTTACTTTCCAATTTTTTGGTTTTCGATTTTCCAATTTTCAGAATTTTCAAGTTTCTTTATTCAGATTTTCCATTTTCCACTTTTTCGATTTTAGATTTTTCGAATTTTTGTTTTTCCAATTTTTTGCTTTTTCGATTTTTCTGTTCGTTTCAGTTTTTAGGCTTTGCAATTTTTTTTACTTTATATATTTTGATTATTTTAATTTTTGATTTTTTTTATTTTTGTTTTTGATTTTTTTAATTTTCAATATGACAAATTTTTGACTTTTCCGTTTTTCAATTTTCGATTTTTCAATTTTTGAGGTTTGTGAATTTCCACTTTTCGATCGACCTAGGTATTTGATTCATTGAATTTTCGGTTTTTTGATTAGCCATTTTTAAATTTTCGATTTTTACGATTTGTATTTTTCGATTTTCTGTTTTTTGCATTAGTGAATTTCAGTTTTTCCGATTTTTGATTTTACGCATATTTGATTAATCAAATTTTCGAAAAAGTTACCATGCTTACAAAAACTTCAAAACATCTACAATATTTCAAAGTATTCAGTTTTGCTATTCTTGATTTCTTCAATAAAATAAATTGAATCAGTCATTAACTTTTTTGAGACACCCTGTATAACCAAATCTAAAAAATATCAATGCAGTGATAAATCACAAGTATAAAACTCATCATATTTTATACATTTAAGATAGGATTTATTCTGCAAAATTTTGAGGTGACGTCATAAATTTTTTAGAGGGGATAAGCAAATATATTTTAATAAAAAATGTATCATGTTTATCATGATTTTAAAACATCTGCAAGATTTCAAAGTATTCGATTTTGCAAATTCAAAATTAAATTGCAAAATATTGTTTTATAATTTTGATTTTTTTCCCAAAAATCTGGACGTTTCGGATAAAGACTCAACACGGAGTCATAAACTACATGTGTAGGACTATGTTACTGTATACAATTTAAAACCCATTTACTATGCATAAATTTGAAGTGACGTCATCACATTATTGGTGGGGATGATTACACAAATGTAATAATTTTGCGACATTTATGAAAAAAATATCAGTTAACAAAAATGGCACATTTTTATTATTATGCCAGTTACATGTCACTCAACGACAATATCGTTTTTTTTTTAAGAGTATTTTATTTGAAAAAGTGATGAAATTTTTTATACGGAACAATTGGTCGAAAGATGTTAGAAAGCAAAATAATTCATGTCCGGACTATCGTTACTCACGAACGAAAGTGACCATTATTTTATGGGAACAACTACCTGCTAAATCTTCTCCGACAAATTCGAGAGAACTGGTATGTAAAATTTTATAGGGTAAAATGTGAATTTCGTTGTAGTTTGAGCCTACCTACAAATTCTGCCCTTGAAAGATTAGGACCGCCTTCTTCGGTGAGGGCAGGCAAAAACGATCCGCCCATAGGCTCAAAACATTTGCGTGCGATTGTACTTATATGGTTTTTTGGTTTTCAGTCCTGGTTTCCTTCGTTTTGTCAACGTGTTGGTGGACATGTCGCCGGAAGAGCGCAAAGCGTTCCTCCAGTTCACTACCGGTTGCAGTTCTTTGCCACCTGGTGGTCTAGCCAACCTGTACCCACGGCTCACCATAGTGAGGAAAGTGGATGCAGGAGAAGGTTCATATCCCTCTGTTAATACGTGTGTCCATTATCTCAAGCTACCTGATTACCCCACCGAGGAAATTTTACGACAGAGACTCTTAGCAGCTACTAAAGAAAAAGGATTCCATTTGAACTAGAAAATCACTAAATTTGTACCTTTTAAATTAATGTTTTCATTTAGGGTAAAGTATAAAGAGATCTAAAAAAAAAGTACTGAGACTTTTGTATTGTTTGTATTAATTCTGATATTTTCGTAGCAAATTATCAAGCTGTACACTTTTAAAATGTACACTATTTTTCAGCGACACTTGTTAACGAAGCTGCTAGCATATTTAGTGAGATATAGAGAATTTATGACCAAATTTTATCATAATTACGTGATTTTTTATTTATTTTGTGATGCGATCATTTGCAATATTATGATTATTTAATTTTTAGTGCGTAGTGCACTTGGGTATTTATGGTTTAGAATAATTTTCTTTTGCTTAATACTTGCAGCGTAACTTAACTGTAGAAAATGTCTGTATGTATCGATGTTAAATTCATGTTATTACTCCTAATAAACTACTTTAAATTCGAATCTAGTTTCAACGAAAAGTCCTTCATTTAACGTACGAAAGGAGAACGATGTGCATTCATCATTCGGTTAATACGGCATGCGGTACACGATATGGTGGTTGCTGCGTCCAGTCGAATATTAATTACCGTTCATACAACAGTCAATTCTGCGTCCATCGTAAAAATTCTAAATATATGTGGACTCGTCCAGAGACCTTTCCTACTCGTGCGACATTTGATGATATATGAAAGGTACGGAGGAGCGAGTTTCTCGTGGAATGGGTGGATCAATGAAAGAAGAGTTAAGCGCTTGTAAACAATTTAATAATCTCATAAAGCAAATACAAAGCTATATAAAAGTATGCAACAGTCTAAAATAACATATTCACCTCAACTTACATCAACTTTACGAAACAAGAGCAACGAATAAAAGTGGTTAAACCTATGTCTAACATAAATAAATAGCAATTATTAAACATTTTCTTTTGCCTATAATTAATTTTTCATATATAACTATAGATATTCGTAGATGACTTGGTCTTCATACAATCATTTTGAAATTTAATGATAAACATCTCATTCAATGAGTGTAAAGTTACACGTAACATTGACATCGAACATTAGTACGGCTTTACTCACGTTTCTTCGGCGCGAAGAAACAACTTAAATAACTTCTACATTAATATTATAAGTGTTAAAAATAAAGGAAATTTACACCATCAGTTGAACTGATCTTTTAACAGTCGATAATCTTTGCTTATATTACTTGGCAAATAGAAATTGCGTGCTCACTCGTACTACAGCATCACATAAAGAACAACACAATCACTAAAATTATGTTCAGTAGTAATGTAAGTAAAAAATTAATGTATATTGTAAATTTTATTATACACGTGTAGGATTACTCGAAAATTCCTCTCTTTAATCTAAGAAATCCTTATCACCTAATATTAATAGCCACGTCGCCTCCAAACCAGCACACAAAAAACGAAATAAAACGAAAACAAATCATAAAATTTATATTTTAATATTCCTTACGCTTAAATAAGAACGCATGTAATACATAAACACAGTAGAGTTGCACGACACATTTATGTATTACAATACAACAATAAATAAACAGTGTATATACAAAAAAGTATATATATTTTGAATTTCAGGATGGAATTTAAGGAATAAAATCATACGATTGTTCGTAAATAGCTAAAATTGAAAACTTATCCGACACGACTGTGACATCATATCGCCCATCTATTTTCCTGCGAAACAATTACTGCTCCTTCTTCTCCTCCACTGCTTTCTTGCCAATTGGAATGGCCGCCTTAACCCTGCGCCAAAAACCACTTAAAACCGTTACTCGCCCCGCCTCCTACTTACTTTGACGTGATTTCGGCCAACTTGGTCCTCACGATCTCCAAATTGGCGTCGATCTGGGTCTTGTTTGCCTCGTACACTTTCGGAAGAGTGAAAAGGGCCACCCAAGCTGCAAAACACCCGTCAATCGACCGCTCTCACCCGCATTACGTTCAAAAATACCGATAATGATGAGAGTCATCCCGTTAAACCAAGACCCGAGGTAAGTCAGCGTCCACAGCAGGACCCCGAATTTGATCGAATCCACCAGATCTTCCACCAGGAACAGTCTCCTCAACTCCACCACGGCTGCATTGATGTGGGCCACCGCCACTTCCGACACTTCTTTGACTTTGTCTTGAGGAAGGGAGACGTCGAGTTCCAGAAAGTCTCTGCAACGTGACCTCATGACAAACACCACTAACATTAATATTTCAAAAAGTACTTCGTAAGCGCTTAATATTCGTTTCGGAGTTCGCATAATCGCGTATATATTTAAATCACGTAAATATTTGCATACAATATTGTGACTGTATTTTCTGCAATTTTTGTTCCGCCTCGAGTCCGACGATGTACTTAAGGTTTGAAATTGGTGAAAAGTTCGGAAACATTGTCAACACGAGCAGCCCCGTAGCTACGGAGGGGCAAGAGGGGGCTGAGCCCCCCCTAGCAGTTGTGGTTGCCCCCCCTGGAAGACTTATACATTATAAATTTCAAATTAGTAATAAAATTTCAATATAATGCCGATTGCCGAAGCATATTAACTGGTCCCACCCGCCCCACCTTTATTTTCGTACAGGGTATATTATTTGGCAATATCACCCTACCGTTGATGTTGACCGTATAAAAAAATGAACATGTCACATTTTATTCCATAGCCTACTATGTACTTGAGAAAAGTCAAAAATATTATATGGATTTTCTAAAAATTGAGCTTTTATTGAAATGGACAAAAAATAGACAAAAAATTCTGAGATGTAGATCTCGATGAGCTTAATCAAAAAACATAAGGTCTTGATGGTCCCAGACCAAGATTTTTCAAAAATTCGGTTCCAAAGCCGACATTTCAAAATTTCTCAAAAATTACATTTCTTTTGGCGGCTCTGGAAAAATTGTACGAATTTTCGAAAAAATAAAACCAAAAAAAAAACATTTGGAGATCGAAATCAATAAAAAGATCCCTTCTGCTAGTTTTCGAAAATGCGTGGGAAAAGTCAAATTTTTTTTATAGATTTTCAAAAATTGAGCTTTTGTTGAAATTGGCTGAAAATCTACAAAAAATTCTGAGATGTAGATCTCGACGAGTTTAGTCAAAAAACATAAGGTCTTGCTGCTATTCGGTTTCCAAGTCGAATTTTTAAAATTTCTCAAAAATTATACTCCTATTTCTTGTGACGATTCTAGAAAAATTTTACAAATTTTCGATCAAATAAAACCAAAAACAACATCTGAAGATTGAAATAAATAAAAGAATGACTTTCGGTAATTTTTGGAAATGCTAAGAAAAGTCAAAATTTATTTACTTTTCAAAAATTGAGCTTTTGTTAGAGTTGACAAAAAATTCTGAAATATAGATCTCGATGAGCTTAATCCAAAAACATAAGGTCTTGATGGTCCCAGACCAAGATTTTCGAAAAATTCGGTTTCAAAGTCGACATTTCAAAATTTCTCAAAAATTACATTTCTTTTGGCGGCTTTGGAAAAATTGTACAAATTTTCGAGAAAATAAAACCAAAAACAACATTTGGAGATCGAAATCGATAAAGAGATCCCTTTTGCTAATTTTCGAAAACGGTTGGGAAAAGTCATAGACATTTTATAGATTTTCAAAAATTTAGCTTTTGTTGAAGTTGACTAAAAATCCACAAAAAAATCTGAAATGTTGATCTCGACGAGCTCAATCAAAAAACACAAGGTCTAGATGGTCCCAGATCAAGATTTTCGAAACATTCGGTTTCAAAGTTCAAAAATTACATTTCGTTTGGCGATTGCTGAAAAATTTTACGACTTTTCAACCAAATAAAACCAAAAACAACATCTGGAGATCGAAATCAATAAAGGAATCCCTTTTGGTAATCTCGAAAGTGCTTGAAAAAAGTCAAAAATTTGATACAGGTTCTCAAAAATTGCCATATTTCTTCCGTCGATTCTGGAAAAATTGTAAGAATTTTCAAAAAAATTGAGTCCAAAACGATTTTTGGAAATCGAGATGAACAAAGGAGTCTCTTTTGATAATTTTTGAAAATGCTTGGGAAAAGTCAAAAATTTTATATGGGTTTTCAAAAATTGAACTTTCGTAAAAGTTGACAAAAAATTCTGAAATATAGATTTGGACGAGCTTAAAAAAACATGACAGGTTCATGGTTCTGGATCAAAATTTTCGAAATACTCGGTTTCGAGCTCGAATTTTCAAAATTTCTCAAAAATTACCATATTTCTTTTGGCGATTGTGGAAAAATTGTACGCATTTTCGAAAAAACAACCAAAAACAACATCTGGAGATCGAAATCAATAAAGGAATCCCTTTTGGTAATCTCGAACGTGCTTGAAAAAAAGTCAAAAATTTGACACAGGTTCTCAAAAATTGCCATATTTCTCCCGTCGATTCTGGAAAAAAAGTTAGAATTTTCAAAAAAATTGAATCCAAAACGATTTCTGGAAATCGAGATGAACAAAGGAATCTCTTTTGGTAATTTTCGAAAATGCTTGGGAAAAGTCAAAAATTTTATATGGGTTTTCAAAAATTGAACTTTCGTAAAAGTTGACAAAAAATTCTGAAATATAGATTTGGACGAGCTTAAAAAAACATGACAGGTTCATGGTTCCGGATCAAAATTTTCGAAATACTCGGTTTCGAGCTCGAATTTTCAAAATTTCTCAAAAATTACCATATTTCTTTTGGCGATTGTGGAAAAATTGTACGCATTTTCGAAAAAACAACCAAAAACAACATCTGGAGATCGAAATCAATAAAGGAATCCCTTTTGGTAATCTCGAACGTGCTTAAAAAAAAGTCAAAAATTTGATACAGGTTCTCAAAAATTGCCATATTTCTTCCGTCGATTCTGGAAAAATTGTAAGAATTTTCAAAAAAATTGAGTCCAAAACGATTTTTGGAAATCGAGATGAACAAAGGAGTCTCTTTTGATAATTTTTGAAAATGCTTGGGAAAAGTCAAAAATTTTATATGGGTTTTCAAAAATTGAACTTTCGTAAAAGTTGACAAAAAATTCTGAAATGTAGATTTGGACGAGCTTAAAAAAACATGACAGGTTCATGGTTCCGGATCAAAATTTTCGAAATACTCGGTTTCGAGCTCGAATTTTCAAAATTTCTCAAAAATTACCATATTTCTTTTGGCGATTGTGGAAAAATTGTACGCATTTTCGAAAAAACAACCAAAAACAACATCTGGAGATCGAAATCAATAAAGGAATCCCTTTTCGTAATCTCGAACGTGCTTGAAAAAAAGTCAAAAATTTGACACAGGTTCTCAAAAATTGCCATATTTCTCCCGTCGATTCTGGAAAAAAAGTTAGAATTTTCAAAAAAATTGAATCCAAAACGATTTCTGGAAATCGAGATGAACAAAGGAATCTCTTTTGGTAATTTTCGAAAATGCTTGGGAAAAGCCAAAAATTTTATATGGGTTTTCAAAAATTGAACTTTCGTAAAAGTTGACAAAAAATTCTGAAATATAGATTTGGACGAGCTTAAAAAAACATGACAGGTTCATGGTTCCGGATCAAAATTTTCGAAATACTCGGTTTCGAGCTCGAATTTTCAAAATTTCTCAAAAATTACCATATTTCTTTTGGCGATTGTGGAAAAATTGTACGCATTTTCGAAAAAACAACCAAATACAACATCTGGAGATAGAAATCAATAAAGGAATCCCTTTTGGTAATCTCGAACGTGCTTGAAAAAAAGTCAAAAATTTGACACAGGTTTTCAAAAATTGCCATATTTCTCCCGTCGATTCTGGAAAAAAGTTAGAATTTTCAAAAAAATTGAATCCAAAACGATTTCTGGAAATCGAGATGAACAAAGGAATCTCTTTTGGTAATTTTCGAAAATGCTTGGGAAAAGCCAAAAATTTTATATGGGTTTTCAAAAATTGAACTTTCGTAAAAGTTGACAAAAAATTCTGAAATATAGATTTGGACGAGCTTAAAAAAACATGACAGGTTCATGGTTCTGGATCAAAATTTTCGAAATACTCGGTTTCGAGCTCGAATTTTCAAAATTTCTCAAAAATTACCATATTTCTTTTGGCGATTGTGGAAAAATTGTACGCATTTTCGAAAAAACAACCAAAAACAACATCTGGAGATCGAAATCAATAAAGGAATCCCTTTTGGTAATCTCGAACGTGCTTGAAAAAAAGTCAAAAATTTGACACAGGTTCTCAAAAATTGCCATATTTCTCCCGTCGATTCTGGAAAAAAAGTTAGAATTTTCAAAAAAATTGAATCCAAAACGATTTCTGGAAATCGAGATGAACAAAGGAATCTCTTTTGGTAATTTTCGAAAATGCTTGGGAAAAGTCAAAAATTTTATATGGGTTTTCAAAAATTGAACTTTCGTAAAAGTTGACAAAAAATTCTGAAATATAGATTTGGACGAGCTTAAAAAAACATGACAGGTTCATGGTTCCGGATCAAAATTTTCGAAATACTCGGTTTCGAGCTCGAATTTTCAAAATTTCTCAAAAATTACCATATTTCTTTTGGCGATTGTGGAAAAATTGTACGCATTTTCGAAAAAACAACCAAAAACAACATCTGGAGATCGAAATCAATAAAGGAATCCCTTTTGGTAATCTCGAACGTGCTTAAAAAAAAGTCAAAAATTTGATACAGGTTCTCAAAAATTGCCATATTTCTTCCGTCGATTCTGGAAAAATTGTAAGAATTTTCAAAAAAATTGAGTCCAAAACGATTTTTGGAAATCGAGATGAACAAAGGAGTCTCTTTTGATAATTTTTGAAAATGCTTGGGAAAAGTCAAAAATTTTATATGGGTTTTCAAAAATTGAACTTTCGTAAAAGTTGACAAAAAATTCTGAAATGTAGATTTGGACGAGCTTAAAAAAACATGACAGGTTCATGGTTCCGGATCAAAATTTTCGAAATACTCGGTTTCGAGCTCGAATTTTCAAAATTTCTCAAAAATTACCATATTTCTTTTGGCGATTGTGGAAAAATTGTACGCATTTTCGAAAAAACAACCAAAAACAACATCTGGAGATCGAAATCAATAAAGGAATCCCTTTTCGTAATCTCGAACGTGCTTGAAAAAAAGTCAAAAATTTGACACAGGTTCTCAAAAATTGCCATATTTCTCCCGTCGATTCTGGAAAAAAAGTTAGAATTTTCAAAAAAATTGAATCCAAAACGATTTCTGGAAATCGAGATGAACAAAGGAATCTCTTTTGGTAATTTTCGAAAATGCTTGGGAAAAGCCAAAAATTTTATATGGGTTTTCAAAAATTGAACTTTCGTAAAAGTTGACAAAAAATTCTGAAATATAGATTTGGACGAGCTTAAAAAAACATGACAGGTTCATGGTTCCGGATCAAAATTTTCGAAATACTCGGTTTCGAGCTCGAATTTTCAAAATTTCTCAAAAATTACCATATTTCTTTTGGCGATTGTGGAAAAATTGTACGCATTTTCGAAAAAACAACCAAATACAACATCTGGAGATAGAAATCAATAAAGGAATCCCTTTTGGTAATCTCGAACGTGCTTGAAAAAAAGTCAAAAATTTGACACAGGTTTTCAAAAATTGCCATATTTCTCCCGTCGATTCTGGAAAAAAGTTAGAATTTTCAAAAAAATTGAATCCAAAACGATTTCTGGAAATCGAGATGAACAAAGGAATCTCTTTTGGTAATTTTCGAAAATGCTTGGGAAAAGCCAAAAATTTTATATGGGTTTTCAAAAATTGAACTTTCGTAAAAGTTGACAAAAAATTCTGAAATATAGATTTGGACGAGCTTAAAAAAACATGACAGGTTCATGGTTCCGTATCAAAATTTTCGAAATACTCGGTTTCGAGCTGGAATTTTCAAAATTTCTCAAAAATTACCATAATTCTTTTGGCGATTATGGAAAAATTGTACGAATTTTCGAAAAAACAACCAAAAACAACATCTGGAGATCGAAATAAATAAAGGAATCCCTTTTGGTAATTTCGAATGTGCTTGAAAAAAGTCAAAAATTTGATACAGGTTCTCAAAAATTGCCATTTTTCTTCCGTCGATTCTGCAAAAAATGTAAGAATTTTCAAAAAAATTGAATCCAAAACGATTTTTGGAAGAAATCGAGATGAACAAAGGAATTCTTTTGGTAATTTTCGAAAATGCTTGGGAAAAGTCAAAAATTTTATATGGGTTTCCAAAAATTGAGCTTTTGTTAAAGTTGACAAAAAATTCTGAAATACACATCTCGACGAGTTTAAAAAAACATGACGAGTTCATGGTTCCGTACCAAAATTTTCGAAATCTTTGGTTTCGAAGTCGGATTTTTAAAATATGTACTAAACATGCAAAAAAATAAACTCAAACAAATTGGATGTTACCTATATGGTCACTACACAAATTTTTGGATGCAGTACAGCTGTTTGTGAATCTACATTCTCTGTTTTAACCAGCATTTTAACCAAGTACCGTACTAATTTTTTGGACTTCGACAGGTTTTTACGAAAATTTAGCGTGAAAAATCGACGTTTCCAATTATTTTAATGTTCTTTCAAATATAAAAACTCAGAAAAAATAAAGTAGTTATCTGAGTGTATTATTAAAATATAAATATTTACATGAAGCCCCCTCTGTCGACAAACTTGCCCCCCCTGAATAAGTTTTCTAGCTACGGGGCTGAACACGAGTCGGACTGGACGATTTTTCGATTACACATAAAAAATATCGTGCGCCCGACAGGCATCATCAGCACGATTAATGCCTGTATCAACTTTTTTCAATAAATTTTTCTGCAATCACGGTATTTGTCTAAAATTGACTAAAACAAATAAATATGCATCTTAATTTACCAATTTTATAGGAAACCAGACCAAATTGCTCCGAATAATCCTGTCATAATTTTTTTAAAGTGATATTTTTAACTTTTTTCACACTTGTTATATTTTCGTGTACATACTTGAAAGGGTCTGTATTTTTGCAATTTTTGTTCCGCCTCGAGTCGGACGATGTACTTAAGGTTTGAAATTGGTGAAAAGTTCGGAAACATTGTCAGCACGAGTCGGACTGGACGATTTTTCGATTACGGATAAAAAATATCGTGCGCCCGACAAGCATCATCAGCACGATTAATGCCTGTAACAACTTTTTTTCAATAATTTTTTCCGCAATCACGGTATTTGTCTAAAATTGACTAAAACAAATAAATATGCATCTAAATTTACCAATTTTATAGGAAACGAAGCCAAATTGCTTCGAATAATCCTGTCATAATTTTTTTTTTAAATGATATTTTTCACTTGTTATATTTTCGTGTACATACTTGAAAGGGTGTCCATCGCCGGTCTTCTGTACTGCTTGCACTACGTTTCTGTAAATTCGGAAGGTAATCGTTCCGGTAAGGCCGATCAGCGACAAGTACGCCACCACACTGATAAGTGAGAAGTATGTGAGTGCCAGAAGGACTACAAGGACTCCGCCGAAGACAGGTCCGGACTTCTTGGGGTCTCGCCAGTAGATCAGGCTCTCCACTACAAACAAAAACCCCCGAGTTAGCAAAAACCACCACCCAAACACCCGAATACTTTCAATCGCGGGATGCGACTTGACGCTTACGCAACCGGCACGAAAATGGTCAACAATCGACGTTTGTTTGATTGAAACGTCGCATCTTGCGATGATTCACGGCAGGTGCATACTGAAGGTCGCAGGGTTGGGTCTTATTTACGCGTATTGGGTTTCAGCCGGTTGCGACACTTATTAAAACGGTGTTGATTTTCTCCGTTTTTCCCTTTAAACAATCACGGCGACGTCGCGTCCTTGCGATGCATAGGCAAAAATTCTATTTCTGCGTCGCTAAATTTAAACGCATCCGCAACGCGAGAGCTTTCGATTTATTTTTATTAAATCTCGGCTCGCTTTGGGTGGGTTTTATTGGTTCGGGGGAATGTTTGCGTTATCGGGGCGACGGATGGAAATAGTTCGCGACTTGCTCCTAGTTCGGAATTTTAATCCGAGTTTCTTTTCGCATTCTTTTTGTGGACGAATGATTAGTTTATTGGTCTTTGGAAGAGGTCCAATTTTGTGGACAAACTGGTTTATTTATTCTTGTGTAGTAAAAGTACGGAATGACCGTTGCAATTTAAATATAAATTGTTTGGAAAGTGGTGAACCGAAAAATTGAACGGGGAATTTATGCGAGTTCGAGGATTAAACTCTAATTAAAACGATGTTTTAGAAACGAATTCATAGCGCGGAATGATGAGATAATGCAAAGGAAAAGCACACGTAATGATGTCGGGTTCAGGTTGAGAATTTCGGATTTATTACGGGCGAAAATTAGATCTACCTACGCCTCTACATCCGGAATAATTTCGTAAAAAACGGTTTTGTTTAGTTTACAAAAATATCATTTCTGATATTTTAAGCCGTCACTCGTAATACGTTAAATGTTCTAACCATTACGCTATTTATACCGTTTTCAATTTCCGCTCTCACCACTTGCGTCTTTGAACACGTTCCACCGTTTTATTTCACAACGCAACTTGAACCCTTTTTGTTCGAGGTCAACGGGGCACATCGGGTTAGTGTTACCGAAATTAACACCACTCAAAATCGCAAGCAGAACGCCGTCCTGGTTTCATTTACGAACTAGCGCACCGATTACTTACAAAAAATTAACGATTTTACGAGATTTTGTGTGTAAACGGTGCTTAAAGCCGACGACTAAACTAATAAACGACTCAGTGGACGTACAAGCTTCTGGACGGGTCCACTTTAAGGGGAGGAACAGTGATTCATTTCATCTTGTTGTGTTTTCCATACTTTATTCAAGCAGGATGAGAAACTGCGATGACGTCACTTCAAATATCATTTCCAATATGCGAGATTCTATTTCCATGTAAAGTGAAAATCACAGGAAACCATGGACACATAAACACGGTTGAAACGAAAATTAAGCAACAAAAAATCTTTACATTGCTGTTTGGCACGCAATAATTCGCTCACTAGTGGAGATATCTACACCCGATAAAAGCTAAATTTAATAACATATTGAATACTATATATTTACGAATTTATGGGCCACATAATTAAATCGCACTGTACTCAAACCACTATCTCCACATCAATTAAACCGCGACTGTACAAAAAATGACTCACGTATTAACCGTCACATCCACGTGTCCGCACTCGCCGCCCCCCGTCCCCGAAATTTTCCACCGCCAGCCCGACACACCATCAACATAACCAAACTCGACCATATGCGAGCGCAATCAATCAAACAAAGCCCCTCTTACCCGGCCCCCTCGCTGGCAAAGCCTCCGAGTACTGTTGGTACCTGTTCTGCTTCCGAACCATTGTCTCCCGATTCAAGAAAACTCAAAAAAACGAACCCAAAAACACACCTCACGCTGCGGGTTCACGACGCGAAAGAAAGACGAAAGTCGTACCTCGGTCGTACCCAGGCTGTTACGAAAGCGCTTTTTCTTCGTCTGGCGAGATGGTCGGCGTGCGAGGGACAAGGAGAGGAAACACGTCGGCGTGTCGCTTTTTACGGTTTATTATGTAAACGAGGTTGAACCCCATGCGATTCGTTGTTGTTTATGGCGGAGATAAGTAATCTAATCGGGGGATTTTTGGCGATGGGGGGGTGGTCACGTGAATGTGTGCCGGAAGGGTATTTATAGAGTGGAGTACCTGGAGACAGCTGGTGCATTAGTTACGATAATGGGGCTTTTATTTGGTGCAGGTTCATGTTGGGGAACAATGGGACGTCAATTAAGTGAGGCACCGTTATTATTTAATGGGAGCTACAGGTGGCCGGGATCATGTAGTGGCAGGATTGCAGCCAGTGATAGTGTTATCAGGAGCAGTTTATTGCACACCTATTCAATACACCTACGGTGGGTTTTGTTGGTTGTTCGGTGTTATTTCGGGACAATTACTGATTCTGATGAGGTCATCGATATTTCACTACAATAGAAACTCAATTTTTTATTAAATATTTTATTACGCTAGGTCCGGATCAGGACTGTTGTCAATCTAGGATTTTTAGTTAAAATTAGTACCATGTTTTCTATAATTTCCGGCTGTCAGCTGTCAAAATTGACAGATTGACATTTTTAATTTACAGATGTATGGAAACATAACCTAAATTAATCGCATGTGACAATTGACATATCTGCCACAATTACTTCCGTTATGCCAACATAAACGCAAGAAAAGTTCGCATTCGTATTTTATTATTCGTTCAAAGAATGTCATCCCTAATGCTCTACCATTTAAAAATGATTTAAACTTATTGCAGTATTACAATGAATACCGGGTAAATCGACATCCAATTATGAAAATGATGACAGAAAATGACACAGTTTTATTTTATATACCGCGTGATCAGAAATGACTGAGTCTGTTGGCAATCCTGGATTTTTAGTTGAAATTGGTATCATGATGTTTTCAATAATTTCCGGTTGTCAACTATTAAAATTGACGCATTGTTGACATTTTTAATTTGCAAAATGTATCCAAAATATAACCTCAATTTATCACATGTCACAATTGACGTATCTGTCACACAGTTACTTCCGTTATGCCAACACAAACGCAAGAAACGTTCACATTTTTGTTTAAAAAGTACTGCCAACAGACTCATTCATTTTTGATCACACGATAAAACAAAATAAACTAACTCTCTATTTTCTTATTTCTCTTAAATATGGTTATTTTATTCGGAAATGATTTTCTATACAATTATATACCGTTTCCCTTTACACATTATCGTAAATTTTGAAAAACCCGCTCTTCTTTGTAATATAAAATGGCGGCTTTGACCAGGCTCCCTTCTTTAGGGTTTCAAGTTTGAAAGAATCTCGGAAACTTCTTATATCTGGTTTTTGAAGTAGTTTGAAAAAATCTGGGGGATATGTTTCGTTTGTTTTTGAAGTACATAATTTGAAAACATTTCAGAGATCTCTTGCCTTGTTTTTGAAGGAGTTTGAAAAAATCTGGGAGATGTTTCTGTGTGTTGTTTTTGAAGTCATTTGAAAGAATCGACCGTTTGTGTCTGGTTTTTGAAGTAGTTTAAAAGAATCTTGGGGGCCCCTTGTGTCAGTTATTTGAAGTAGTCTGGTAGAACCTCGGGGACCTTTTGTGTTTGGTTTTTAAAGTATATAGTTTGAAAGAATCTTGGGGACCCCTTTTGTTAGATTTTGAAGTAGTTTGATAGAATCTCGGGGGTCCCTTTTGTTTTGATACTGATGTAGTCTGAAAGAATCTCGGAGACCTCTTGTGTCTGGTTTTTGAAGTAGTTTGATAAATCTTGGGGAACTTTTGTGTCTGGTTTTTGAAGTCGTTTGAAAAAATCTCGGGGACCACTTTTATTATGTTTTTAAAGTAGTTCGAAAGAATCTCGGGGACTCCTTTTGTTAGATTTTGAGGTAGTTTGAAAGAAACTCTCGGGGGGCACTTTTGTTTAGATTTTGAAGTAGTTTGAAAGAATCTAGGGGACCCTTTTTGCTAGATTTTGAAGTTGTTTCATAGAGGGTCACTTTTGTTTTATTTTTGAATTAGTTTGAAAGAATCTCGGGGACCCCTTTTGTTTACATTTTGAAGTAGTATGAGAAAATCTTGGGGAAATTTTGTGGCTGGTTTTTGAAGTAGTTTGATAGTTTGATAAAATTTTGGGAAATTTTTGTGTCAGGTATTTGAAGTGGTTTGAAAAAATCTCGGGGACCGCTTTTGTTTTGTTTTTGGAGTAGTTCTAAAGAATCTCGGAGACTCCTTTTGTTAGATTTTGAAGTAGTTTGATAGAATCTCGGGGCCCTTTTGTGTCTGGTTTTTGAAGTAGTTTGAAAGAATCTCGGGTGTCACTTTTGTTTTGTTTTTAAAGTAGAATCTGGGGAATCTTTTGTATCTGGCTTTCGAAGTAGTTTGATACAATCTTGAGGAACTTTTGTGTCTGGTTTTTGAAGTAGTTTGAAAAAATCTCGGGGACCACTTTTGTTTTGTTTTTGAAGTGGTGGTTCTAAAGAATCTCGGAGACCCTTTTTGTTAGATTTTGAGGTTGTTTGATAGAATCTCGGGAATCTTTTGTGTCTGGTTTTTGAAGTAGTTTGAAAGAATCTCGGGGACTTTTTTTGTTTAGATTTTGAAGTAGTTTGAAAGAATCTCGGGTACTCCTTTTGTTTAGAGTTTGATGTAGTTTGAAAGAATCTCGGGTGTCACTTTTGTTTTGTTTTTGAAGTAGAATCTAGGGAATCTTGTGTGTCTGGTTTTCGAAGTAGTTTGATAAAATCTTGAGGAACTTTTGTGTCTGCTTTTTGAAGTAGTTTAAAAAAATCTCGGGGACGACTTTTGTTTTGTTTTTGAAGTATGTGGTTCTAAAGATTCTTGGGGATCATTTGTGCCTGGTTTTTGAAGTAGTTTGAAAAAATCTCGGGGACGACTTTTGTTTTGTTTTTGAAGTATGTAGTTCTAAAGAATCTCGGGGGTCTTTTGTCTCTGGTTTTTGAAGTAGTTTGAAAAAATCTCG